AATTCTGCCTACATGGGATACATAATTATTAGTTAACAAATAGTTACTAAACCTTCATATGTACCAGTATTTTTATTAATTATATGAATAGCAATTGCAAAATAAACAGTCTTTGTCATCAAAAATCTTAAAATGTTTCCATATATTCTAATAATTAACCTTGATCTGAAAAAATAATAAAGAAGTGCCCTTACGCCATCAAGTTAGTGTATATGTAGAAATAAATAATAATTACTGGAAAAATCTATACAAATAAAGTTCTACTGAAAGCCGTATTTACACTGGCTCTTTGAATCAATCATTATTTCACTCAATGTGCTTTTCATTGGTTGTCTGAAATGTCCACAAATGCACATAGAAGCAATGTGAAGATTATTTTTCAAATGAATCAAGGACCATTTGTGAATGCTTTAATTTTATATGACGACAAATACAAATACAGTTATATATGTTTGTGAAGGATTTGATTAACATGTAATTTTAACAGGTTTCTTTTTGTTGAAATTTATGAAATTCCATTATGAATAATAATGATAATTTATATAAATACTTTAAGTGAAAAAAAGTCTCTCTGAATATAGTAGAGATTTAGTCACTATTTGTGCATGTACATACACATTCTACTTCATTCCATAGACTTGTGTTTTCAATGTATTCATATGCATAAGCTCAGAAATTTGGAAAGCGAACAGGAAATCATATTTCATTTATATAAATGCTAATAAGGTTCATGAGCCTTTATTTGATCATGAAGACATCATGATTACTGTTCTTTTAAAAATGTTTTAGTTTTACATCTATTTTAAATTTACAGAATCACTATAAAGATACATATGACACTTCCACACCCAGGCTTCCCTTTAAAATTACACATTAGAGAAATGTTCTTGTCACAATTACAGAGTAAACATTGATTTAGTGTACTTACCTAAACTATATGGTTCATTTAAAATTCTTCAGGCATTTTCTAGATTTTGCATATGTTTCTTCTTATTTATTTCTCTTCTACAATAAAGTTACTTTTACCATAATGTAATTTAAAAACATTTTAGCATATATTTTAATATTATTTTTAAGACACTTATTTTATTAGTATATTTGCAATACATAATCATTATATCCATTATGGTGAGTTGGTACACAGAACATCTTAACTTTTGACTTCCCTTCCCCTTCCCTTCTGTCTTTCCTTCCTGCATTTATTGGATTCTTCCTTTTCAAAGTGCTTTTGAAGGAGGTCACAGGAGCAATTCACAGTTAAGAAGGAAGTAGTTGTGTTCTACTTCCCTTCAGGTTAAGTACTAAACACAAAATATTTGCATCTTTTCTTCAGTGGAGTTTTACCTTATGTCCATCTTCATCCACTTTATGTATTTATTCAATAATCTCTTATATCATTGCAATAAGTAGTAGCTTATGTACATTTATTGTATACTTTAGGTCTTATATTAATACGCATTTGCCTCTGGACCGAAATTCAACAGTTTTAGTAGCTTAAATATTAAAGTGTTGCAGTTAGAAAGGCTGTATTTGGAGAAGCCTTTGAAGGACCTTTTCATACTTAATGCCAGTCCAAAGATTGTAGGCACTTGAATTCAGCAAAACAACCCAATATAGTCCAATTGTCCATAATAGTAGTGAGTTATCATCACAATTGGCAATTGTTAGAAGTCGTTGACTTGAGCCTTTTACAGCTCAGCATATCAATATAGCTTTACTTTTTATACCTTGTGTTTACACTTTTCTGCTGGATTGTTAACACCAAGTTAAAGTAAGACCTATACAACTAAAAATGTAACTTCTGCTATCTGATAAAGTCAGTCAGATCCCCTCAGGATTTAATATGGAACCATGTACAGCACCTTGTGGATCTTTTGTCAGTGTCAGTCAGTTGAATGAGTCATCGCCATTGCTTGACCAATTTACTCTCTGTGAAAGCCTGAGATAATATTTTCTCTCTAGGTGATTCTTCTTATGAACACTACACACACACACACACATGCACACACACACACACACACACACACACACACACAAAGGTAAATTAAAAATTTAAAAAAGAAATTAAAAAATAGTGTTGTTATGAACATTTCTGGATGATGACAAATCTAACAGTGAAGGCCCAGTCAATCTGGTTTCTGATGAGGATCACCTTTTTTGACTTTCAAATATCGTCCTGCTTGTGTGGTTTTTTATGATGGAGTATGACTTCTTTTCTTTTCTATTCCTTTTCTTCCCTTCTCTTCCCTTCTCTTCCCTTCTCTTCCTCTTCTCTTCTCTTCTCTTCTCTTCTCTTCTCTTCTCTTCTCTTCTCTTCTCTTCTCTTCTCTTCTCTTCTTTCTCTTCTCTTTTCTCTTTTTTTTCTCTCTCTGTCTCCTTCCTCCCTTCTCTCTCTCTCTCTCTTTCTTTCTTTCTTCTTCTTTTTCTGTTTCATTTTTGTACAATGAAACTAATATCATTATAAGGGCCTTAAACTTAGGCCTGTTTTGCCATAATTAGCTAATAAAAATCATTTGTCTAAATACCAACAAACTGGGCACAAAAACTTAACATATTTGATTTCAGTGGACATAATTCATTCCATAAATGTCTTTATTATGCATAGTAATGTAATTTAATGTTCTTGGAAAAATTAATTTTAACAATGTAGTTACTTAACCTAAACATAAGTATATTTAAAACTATTACAGGATTGATATCCATGATTTTTAGTCAATTTGGTTTCAAGTAAAATACAGTGTGATTCTACCAATAGTTAGAAAATATCATCTCAAATGGTACAGAAGTTAGGTAAGGTATGTTCAAGCAAGAGGGTAACAGCTGTCCATATATAGCTTGGAAACATGTTTAAATTCCACTTATGAAAGTACACTTACCAAGCTTTCAAATCAAAATCTCACTGTAGAGGTGAAAACTGACTTACTTAGAAATACTTTTAATACAGATGCATATTATTTCTAATTACTTCAATAGATGCTATTAAGAAGATTAGTGGATATGTCTTTTCTAATATTTCCTGAGCGTGATGACAGTTCCATCTGCCAATGCTTGCCAAATATAGAAAACCAGAAATAAAAGTTGCCATTGAACTCACTGTAGATATTTCAGCAACCTAAATCATGCAATTCAATGGTCATTTTCTATTATTGCTGTCCTTTTAAAAGTGACATACTGCAGAATATACATAATGTATTGCAGAGTTTTAGGAAATTTGTGGCTACAAAAAACACCTCCACAAAACAGCAATTATTTCCCAAGATCACAGTGTTTACTATTCTACATTATTTATAACTATTCTTGAAGAAAATATTCATATCTCATGGGTGATTATATGCCCTTCTTATACCTCAAGATGGAAAGAAATAATCAGAATGATGTTTCCTTTCAACACACAAGAGTGGGTAGTTAACAAAATACAGATTTTTATTTCATTATAAATTTATTTTTATTGGTATACTTTGTAGTATATAGTGTATTGGTTCGTGTGCATAGCGCTTCAAATTTCCCCCACATATTTATTTTTTTAACAGCATTTCTCTTTACTCCTCCATTTCTCTTATTCTTCATCCCATGTCCCAAAGTTACATCTTGCTGTTTCCAATCATCTATCCTTACTTTTACATTTTATTTTTATATTGGATTTCTCATGTAAGATAAGTCATGTGATAAGTTTAAGTTATGAGTCTGATTTACTTCAAAAAAATAAGTTCTGGCGCATCCATTTTGCCACAATTCACATAAGTTTATCTTTTCCTGTGGAAAATTAGTACCCCATTGTGCATAAATGCCACATTTTGTTTATCTGTTCATTTCGTCGTAGACAGTTATGGTGCTTCAAAAGACAGCTATTAAGAATTTTGCTGATCTTGGGTGGAAGCGATAGATCTTGGGTGGAAGCGATAGCTGAGTGGCGGCAGCTGCCGATTGTGTTCTAAGGGGACGGAGTGGGGAAAGACGTCTGCTCTGCTGGAACAGCCTATCTCATTCCTTTCTTTCGACTGCCCGTGGCGCGGAGAGTCGGGGAGGCGGCTGCGGCAGCAAGGGTGGAGGTGGCAGCGGCGGCAGCTGCAGTGACATGTCCAGCATGAATCCCGAATATGATTATTTATTCAAGTTACTTCTGATTGGCGACTCTGGGGTTGGAAAATCTTGCCTCCTTCTTAGGTTTGCAGATGATACATATACAGAAAGCTACATCAGCACAATTGGTGTGGATTTCAAAATAAGAACTATAGAGTTAGATGGGAAAACAATCAAGCTACAAATTTGGGACACAGCAGGCCAAGAAAGATTTCGAACAATCACCTCCAGTTATTACAGAGGAGCTCATGGCATCATAGTTGTGTATGATGTGACAGATCAGGAGTCCTTCAATAATGTCAAACAGTGGCTTCAGGAAATAGATCGTTATGCCAGTGAAAACGTCAACAAGTTGTTGGTAGGGAACAAATGTGATCTGACTACAAAGAAAGTAGTAGACTACACAACAGCAAAGGAATTTGCTGATTCCCTTGGAATTCCATTTTTGGAAACCAGTGCTAAGAATGCAACGAATGTAAAACAGTCTTCATGACGATGGCAGCTGAGATTAAAAAACGAATGGGCCCTGGAGCAACAGCTGGTGGCGCAGAGAAGTCCAATGTTAAAATTCAGAGCACTCCGGTCAAGCAGTCAGGTGGAGGCTGCTGCTAAAATTTGCCTCCGTCTTTTTCTCACAGCAATGAATTTGCAATCTGAACCCAAGTGAAAAACAAATTGCCTGAATTGTACTGTATGTAGCTGCACTACAACAGATTCTTACCGTCTCCACAAAGGTCAGAGATTGTAAATGGTCAATACTGACTTTTTTTTTATTCCCTTGACTCAAGACAGCTAACTTCATTTTCAGAACTGTTTTAAACCTTTGTGTGCTGGTTTATAAAATCATGTGTGTAATCCTTGTTGCTTTCCTGATACCAGACTGTTTCCCGTGGTTGGTTAGAATATATTTTGTTTTGATGTTTATATTGGCATGTTTAGATGTCAGGTTTAGTCTTCTGAAGATGAAGTTCAGCCATTTTGTATCAAACAGCACAACCAGTGTCTGTTACTTTCCATGCATAAAGTTTAGTGAGATGTTATATGTAAGTCCTGATTTGCTAGTTCTTCCTTGTAGAGTTATAAATGGAAAGATTACACTATCTGATTAATAGTTTCTTCAAACTCTGCATATAATTTGTGGCTGCAGAATATTGTAATTTGTTGCACACTATGTAACAAAACAACTGAAGCTATGTTTAATAAATATTGTACTTATTGGAAGTAAAAAAAAGAATTTTGCTGTCATAAATACATTAATTTAGGATGAAGTCTATTTTTTTCAAGAAAATACCTAAAAGATAACTACTTTGTTCAAACAGAACTGCTCGTTTTAGCTTTCTTAGGAATCTTCCCACTGATTTTTATAGTAGCTTTATCAGTTTACACTCTGACCAACAATGAAGAAATGTTCCTTTTCCCCAAAACATCTCAGTATTGTTTTTTGATTTCTTGAAAATAGCCATTCTTTCTGAAGTTAGATGAAATCTCAGCACCATTTTTATCTGTTTCTCAAAAGCCCAGGCGGGGGTTGAATATTTTTTTCCTTGCATTTATCGACCATTTGTACTTCTTCATTTGAGAACCATATATCCATTTCAGGACATTGACATTAGACGTCTAAACTTCTTGTACAATTTGGTAGTGAATCTGTCAGGATCTAAATCTTTCTTAGTAGTATTTTATTGTATTACTTTTTCAATTTCATACACTAATGTTGGATTATTCAATACTTTTATATGATCTTCATACAGTTTTGGTAGCTCCTATATATGTAGCAATTTATTTAATATGATGGATTTGATTTTTATGTTGATAACATCATTTAAAGGCTTGCCTTTTGTTTGTTTTAACCAACTTCAAGATGCTTTGTGTATTTTTTAAGTCTTAATTTTATTAATTTATGTGTTGATCTCTACAATTTTTTTCTTATACTAGTTTTAGATTTTGATTATTCACTTTTTTTTTCTAGGCATGCTATTAAGTCATTTATCCTTCTTTTCTGGTTCCTGTATGAACTCTTGATTATTCAAGGGTCTATTATTTCATTTGCATGTCTTTGCATAGCTTCTGTGGCTTCTTGTGTCATTGATTTCTAGATTCATTTAGTATGCTCTGATAATATTCATAGGACAATTTTCATTATTTTGCATTTGCTTAAGCATGCTTTATGAGCAAGTACACCTATTCTGGAGAAAGGCCCCAAGTGCTACTGAAAAAAATATGTATTCTTTCATTGGAGGGAAATTTCTGTAGATACCTATTAAATCTATCGTTTTAAAGATTTGGTTCAACTGTGTATATCTTTGTTTATTTTTTTCTATTTGATCCACTTGTGCCACTAAATATTGAGGTGTCCCCCATTGCAATTGTTCAAGTTTTCATATGATTTTTCATTTCTATTACTGCTTATGGTATTAGACATGCCTGTTTCGATACATGTATGTCTATAATTATTTTCTCTTCTTGTTGAATTGTTTCCTCTACCAATATTTAGTGATCTTCTTTGTCTCTTCTGATCATTTTTCAATTGAAGGACATTTGTTCTGATATTAGGATAGCAATCCATGCTTCTTTTATATGAAATATTGTTTTCTATCTTTTGCTCTTTTTAAATTTTATTTTAGGGAAGGGTCCACAGGGTGTTCAGAGTCTCACTACTAGATCGGACTCTTAGTGATCTGTCTGTTTACAGTCTTCCAAGAGCTGGATTACAGGCACATGCCACCATGCCAGTCTCAATTGTCATCTCAGCTTGCCCTGTGGGTGGGGCCTGCACAGCATATCTTTTGTTTTTTAATTGATGAATTTCTTTTTGAATTGAATGTTTCTTTTGTGCCACATATCATTGTGTATGTGTGTTTTTTAATTCATTCTGCCAATCAATATCTTTTTATTGGAGAATTGAGATCATTCACATGGAGAGCTAATTTTGAAAGTACCAACTGTGACCCATCATTCAATAATTTTGTGCTGCAGATTTTATAATTTTTTTTCTTAGCTGCTCATACAGGTAGGTATATTCAATCTTTTGATCCTTTGATATTGTTGACTTTATTGTCTTTTTCTAGTATATCCTTGAGACATATTAAAATGTTTATTTTGTGATCATGAATATCTTGAGGTGATCTTCATTATTGAAATACCTTATTTCTCTATCAATGTTGAAGAAAATTTTTACAGGTTGCATAAGTTAGGATTGGAAGTTTTCTGTCTTTTAGGGTTGGAACATTTCACTCCATGAAATTGCCTGTGTGGCTATGTTACTATCTTCCCTTATCCACAAGGATAATAACGTGAATAACAATACCTATTACTTTTTATTGTCATATTCTAGTCTGGATTTTAATACTAGGTCTGTGGATTTTTTTTTTTTCGCTGAACAGGGGATTGAAATCAGGCCCTTGCACTTGCCAAGGAAGCACTTATTCTACTGAGCCATCTCCCCAGACTTGCCTCTGGAATTTTTAAAGAAATCAATGATTTGAAATGTGAAGAACAAAGCATATGCAAAATAGTACATTGCATTTCAAAAACTTAAAGAAAAATATTGGAAATTCTTACTATAAGGAAATTATAAATTTTTGAGAAGCTAGACATACTTTAATATAAATATTATATAATGTATTTATGTAATAAACTTAAATTTAAAAATATAAAGCTGATAAACAACAAAGCTTGAGGAGACAATCTATACTGACAAAATGTTGTGCAAATAATCATGAGAAAGCAAGAATCTATAGGATATATAAAGAATTTAAAAAGTAACCACATAAAAATAAATACTCTTAGTAATAATGGTAAGATAATAAAGAAAGATACATCTTAAGTGACAAAAATGCAAATGGGCAACAAATATTTGCAAAGCTACCATCAAGTAAATGAGTATCAAAACCTAATTTGATTCTAAATTACAATATCAAAAAAGTTGTTACTGGGCAGGCCAAATAGCTCATTTGATTAAAATGCCTGCTTAGATAGAAGCAGGGTGCTGTGAGTTCAATCCCTGGGCCTGTCATGCTGGCCCCATCCCTGGGGCGTGCTGAGATGGTGTTTGAGACTGGGCATGGTGGCATGCACCTGTAATCCCAGCACCTAGGAGGCTGTAAACAGGAGGATCATTACTAGTCCAATCTATACAGTGAGACCCTGTGCACCCTGTACAGCCTGTCCTAAATACAAAAAAAAAAGAATGGTTGTTGCTAAAAGATACTGGCAAAGACAGGAGAAAAGGAAGTCCATACCTAATTATGAGAATGTAAATAAGTATAGCCATTATGAAGAATAATGTAAATTCCTTAAAAATCTAAATGAGGATTTATCTAATAGTCCAGTTCCAACACTCTTAAGCATATGTAAGAAAGAAATGATTGTAGTAAACAAACAAAATACTTGCATTCTGATGTCTATTTTAACACTATTCACAGTAGCTAAGACATGAAGTCAACTTAAAGACCCATCAATATATAAATGAATAAAGAAAATATTGTAGATAGATGGATATTAGATAAATAGAAAGAAGGAAAGGAAGGAAGGAAAGAAGGAAGGAAGGAAGGAATGGAGGAAGGAAGGAGGAAATTAAGAAAGATAGTCAGATTTAGTGCAATATTATTTTCAGCCACAAAGAACGTTACATTTTGACTGAAATATGTAGTAATTACTTTAAGTTAAGACCATGGGCATGGATAAAGTAAGACTGGATTTGATCATTGTATACTGTTTGCATGTATTGAGATAGTCCACCAAAATGTACAATTAATACATATTAATAGAAGTATTACCTAAAATTTAAAAAATTAAAATAGTTACAGAAAATTTCAAACACTCAACATTATTCATAGAGAGTTGATTATTTTAAAAAAGTTATCCCTTTCTCTTCTACATATGATGCAGTTTTTAAAAGAAATAAGTGCATTTGCTTGAGATAATTCAAAATTTCCTTGAGTCTATACATAAGAAAGTAAAATATTTTCAATTAACATTGTGAATCTACTGTGCATTGAAAACATAAATATCATGGGTCTAATGGTAATGTACCATGATTTCATGTTGTATAATTTATTATCTATAATACTATTATAAATTTTAATTTTCATTTTAATAAAGATATAATCATCCACAGAAAGACTAAAATATAATTTAGCTTCAATTTTTGTCACCAAAATACTTGATAATATGTAGAATACTTAGTTTTTGTCATATTCAAAGACAAAATGACTTGTGAGTATGATGTTTTGAATGGTGTTGCTTCCTTGATTCACATGCAAAGGGGAAGTCTATATTTCTTTTCCTGCAATATGCAACTCACTAAGCAGGAAGAATGTAATTCAAGTATTTTTATTAGCTTTGACAGTCTAAAATTATATGCATCTCCCTGGTTTGATGGTATTCGTGTATATAGTACATTACCATTGCCTATAAACTGAATTGGGCAAAACATCTTTAGTCTGAGGGTGTATCTCATGAACTTTCAACTTGAGTAAATTTCAGATAAAAGTGAGTGATATTATCTTTGACAACCTCAGAAATATTTCTATTAGATGTGGTGACATAATTGGTCTGCTCTATATAGCCATGTCTAATGGGCAAGAATGGTTGCATCTTTCTTTATTCTTACCTATCCAAAGAAAATTAAAAGAAAAATAATGCATTCCACATGAAATTTTGTTTACTT